GTAGCCGTTGCCAGTTTTCGATACGGTGCGATTAGAACGACGCTGCACGGAAACGGCGGAAGACACGGGCTCTGTTCGTATCGACCCCGCCTAAACCCCGCCTCGCTGCGACGGAGCCGCACGAGCGACGCCGAGCGTCGGCGAGCGTCGACGAGCCGCTCCGTCTCTCCTTTCCTGACCTCGTCCTTTTCCGTCGTTCCTGCTCTCCCCCTCATCGCGCCCTTTCTGCATTTTCACCGCACCTGCACCCTTCTCGATCATCCAACCCTTTCGATCTATCCATCGATCCAAGTCGAGTATTTCGTTTCGAGTTGACGAGAACGAACGATTCGACGGGGGGATCTTTTGGAACGATCGTTGATCGTGAAGAAGGAACGGCCCTTCCTCCAGTATCTACCTAACTTCCGGTTCTTCTGCGTCCCTTGCAACATTTTCTCTACCTGCACCCAAAATGAAAATATCGCAGGTGGAAGGAGGAAGATTGGGATGCTCGAATGGACCAGAACGAATCGTTTTCATTCGGTTAATCAGCGCGGAGAACTCGTTAGACCGATGACCGTGTAGCAGCTCTAATTATCAGATGCATCGGGTATAGTCACCGGCGTATCGGGCATAAAAAGCACGAACGGTGACTTGTCCAGCGGTACAATAAAAGTATATCGACGTACGCGCACGATAAATATGCACAACAGGGGCATAACGGTGGCGCACTGCGTGTTAATAAATACGAGGCAGCAGCGGTGAAGCTGCTTATTAAACGCATTCGATCGACGATACTTTGAGGCCTCTAGTTTCGTAACTTGCGGCTGCGTGTCGAAGGAACCAGCCGGTTCGTCGTGACGAGATCGTGAAGGCGTTACTCTAGTTGCGATGACGATAGCTACGCACACAGGCGCGCCACGTTCCTCTGATAATGTCGCCACCGGAGACGTATTCGAGAAATATATTGCGTATACGAGAGGAGAGTGTCGCCTGCCAGTACGTCACCCGCTATTGTAAATTTAAATTGTTGCGCTATTTATAGAACCGGTAACCGGTTGATCCTGATTGGACGCTGCGCGTACTTTTCGCGCGTTTCTGCCAGCAACTCTGTACGCTTTTTTGGCACGAGCCTTCGGAGTCGCGTTTCGTCATTCTAATTTCGTCGTTGATTAACCATCACGTAGCCTTGGTGTCTCGAGAAAGAATTATACTTGCAACGTGACATAATCGTCGAACATCAGATCTTGAAATAGAAATAGATCTTCCTCTTCGGAATTTTAACTAAAGCGTGTCGATAGGAAGTTTAATCTACGTTCCCTAATACCCAACGCATTTTACCATCCTACTCGGAATATTCAGAGACGTTCGATGAAATCTCTAAAATAAATCCCCACTCCGTACCCCGTTGTATTCAAATTTCCCCGTTTCCTGTGCCCGATCGTTCCAAAAATATCCTCGGAAGGTGATCGAGATCGCGCGGAATACCGCTGATCGTTCAATTCCAGCGCAAAGATCGAGCGACAAAGAAGCGCAATTATGCGTGTGTGCCGCGTGCAGAGGGGCAACGAGGAGACAGAGAGGAAGAGTGAGAGAGAGGGAAGTAGAAGTCGAGTGATCGATCGGCGGCGACGCGGTGGTCCGCTTCATAGCGACATCGCCTTGAAAAGAGACAGTCGCCGGGCGAACCCGGTTTTGCGTCCATCCAGGCAAGCACGACTCTCTCTCTGGTCGATCGACGCTCGTGGGCAGGCCGATGGGCCTGGTTAGAGATGGGAAAATGGCGATAAGCTCTACCCACTTTGACCACCCATTCGACTGTGCGCAGTTGCGACCACGCCCACTAACTGCGCGCGCTGCCCGACTTCGATACTTATATGTTTCCATCTCGAATCTCCGACATACGCTCTGCAATCTCGATTTGCTTATTGATTCTTCGCTCGGAATTGTTCATTGCAGTTTTCCAATTAGTCCAATCAGCTTGAAATATTCTTTGGTAGTTAGATCAGGTATATTTTAACATGTTTACGATAATAGTTAGGAAAGCGTTCCTAATTGAGCAACGTTTGGTACGTTGAGTCGCTCTTCAGTCTTCGTGGATGGGTGGTTTTTAGAGTCACAGAGAAATGTATATAAGTTTCGTTTGAGGTATACGTATCATTTCTGCTTGAAAGAATCATAATTTGTCGAATCTTGAACGAGTCTATTTACGGAGAAGCGTCGCGAGGTTCTCCTCCATATGTTGCGGTCGACTTTCGAACGCGCTTCTTTGCTATACGGATTCCTCAACGCTACAAGTGCTCTCTTCTTTTAAGAATATATTCGTTCGAAGAAATTTCTGTAGATTTTCGTAATTCAAAAATTCTAGATTATTTTTCGAAAAGTGCAGGCGGGAGTTAAGATTTGGAGGTAAAATGGGGTACGAGTGGACGAATCTTCGTATAAAATTAATTCTTTATTGACGAGTCTTCGACTTAATATTACAAATGGAATTGCTACAGCGATTACAATGGATAATTAAGTAGAACGTCCTGTCTGGCCAACTCGAGTAACATAGGATCGTCGAAGAATTTGTTGATAGACACGTCTTCCGAGAGTCCTTTCCTCCTTCTCGTTTTCAACATAAACTCTCTAGCCAAATGTGTAGCTGGCTGTGGTTCCAGAGGTCTGATTGTGATACTTTTGTCCAACGGATCACCGGGTACAATTTGCCAGTGATGAAACACCGACAAACAAAATGCCTGGCCTTGCGTGTGGGTTCTCAAATCGGTCTCGAATCCGAAGCTATCGATCGCCGGTATGAACGCTTTGATAGTGTACAAGGGACTTCCGGGAACGGGAGCGTCTTGGGTCACGTGACCCCTCCTCTTAGCCAGGACCGTATAAACAGCCGACACGCAGTCGGCGGGCGCTTGAACCTCGACGAATAAATAGGGTTCCATTAACCTGGGCGTTGCCATAAGGAAAGCAGAATACGCTACCCTCCTGGCAGTTGGAATAATTTGACCTCCTGTAAATGAACAAACGATTAACCTTATTCGTGGTAAAAAAAGAAAAATTAACGGAAGCTATTCACCTCCCCTGTGAAGGGGTTCCTGGGCAATCACAGCGTCTAGAATTTTAAATTTCACGTTTCTAATCGGTTCCTCGCAAAGTGGACCCTCTCTAGTCCCCCATTGGAAACCCTGAATAATGGCGTCCCTGGCGCTGTTCAATAACGATTTGTCTACTTCTGACGGCAAAGTGTCGTCGACTAGAATATTAGGGCCAGTGGCATCTGGACCGAAAGCCCATATACTTCTGGCTGCCAATAAATCCCAGTCGTATTTCGTTTGGAAAAATTCTCCCAATCGTTTTCTGCAAAGGCAATTCACATTTTGTCCCGTGTATCTAGGTGATAGAAGTATTCTTCTACTCACTTGTTCCACGTAATTTTAACGTGTTCCGCCTCGATGTCTTCTGCCAAGCCTCTTTCAAGCGGCTCGGCGATCATGGTTAATTTGTTACGTTTGTTAGGTGTCTCGGCGAAACATTTTAGGGAACTGGTTTCTACCACGGTTTCTGCGAAGGCAACGACAGGGTCCGCCACTTTTATATCGATTTCAGAGTACATTCTACGCAGATCGTGCATCGCGCAATCCAAGTATAACTCTCCTGTACCTAGAACAACGTGTTCTCCGCTTTCCTCGACCCTGGTGCCTAACAAAGGATAACTTTTGTTCACCTTTCTAAGACCGTCTAACATCTTAGGCAATTCCGATGGATTTACAGGCTCTACCGCAATTTTGATCACACTCTGTGTATTGAATTTCAACGGCCGGAAGATGTGCAGGTCGTCTGAACTGTTCAGATCGGTGATTGTGCTAGTTTTTACTATGGGCCTGTCTATGCCCTCGATCAGAACCCAATTGCCCGCGGGAACTCTATTTAACTCGATGGAATATCGTGCCTCGCTAATCCACAATCTTCCCACGGTTAAAACCCGAGAATCTTCTTCGTCTGTACGAGAGTAAGCTTCACCTAACACACGGACGCGTTGGCCCGCTTCTAGAGTACCTGACATTACTCTTCCAAGGACTACGAACAAAGTACAGTCCTCGGTGGGGTACATTTTTGTACTGTGAATCATTAGCCTTCCCTGGAAATATTTTTCAACCGTTAGAGCTCACGTTCGAGAGATAGGAGATTTAGGTAGTTGGAAGAATTCGCTGGTACTAACGTCGGGATCGCAATTCACCATATCTTGCGCGAGGGGTGAGTCCATTGGACCTGTATACACGTGTTGGACTTTAACTGGTGCGTGTGATTGAGGACTGGGAACGTGGGCTACGCACATGTCTACCAATCCGCACATGTCTCCCAAGAAACGCGTACACACCAGTCTCAACAGAGGTCTAATGTTCATTTTCATTTCCTCCGAGGTTAATCTTATGCCTAATTCATCGAGTACTGTGAAATTAAATTGGAATATTATGCAACGTTCGTTGAATCCTATCGCTATCGTTTCTAAGGAATTCACCAACCGTCTGGTAATGTTGTATCTACATCTCCGACTACTTGTGCGAATATTTTATACAACGGTTCGAGGATAAATTCGATAAAGCTACGCTGTGCAGTATTATGCGGTGGTTTTTTGGTAAACTTTCGCGTTTTCGAGTTGAAGTATATATCTCCCCATAGTCGTTTGGCGAATTCATTGGCGTTAAGCGTGAGATGAGTTTTGGCGTAAAGAGACGCGAAGGATTTTAGAGTGAAGCAGACGTTGTACTCTGAACTCGCGAAGCACACGTTTCCGATAGCTGGTGACACGAAAGACGGATTTTCAGAGTCTGAATACAACGCTATCAACCCATTGATTTCCTCGATAATGTGTCTCAATTTATAGTACGCGTCTAACGGGGGTAATTTTAATTCTAATATCAGACGGTCTATTTTATTTATGCAAACTGTTAAAGCGAGCTTTTCTTGAAGCGCGTGTTTTAGCAAACGTTCTGTGTTTAACATGACGCCCTCGGCGGCGTCAACGATTAGTATTGCTCCATCGGATAGTCTTATCGCCGCTGTAGCTTCGTCGGAAAAATTCACGTGACCGGGAGTATCGAATATGTTTAAAAGATAGGACTTTGATTTCACGTCTTGTAGCAATAAGGTTACGGGTGTTGCTTTCGTCGATACGCCTCGCTGTTGCTCCGTGAATAACGTGTCGGTGTATCTGAGAACATAATTAGGGTTTTTTTTTTAACCACAAGTTGAAAAAAATTACTTGGCATTTTTCTGAGTAGCTGCTATACCTCAAAGGTTTTTCATCTGTAACACTGTGTAGATAAGGATGAGTTTGTCTCACTAGACAATCAACCAAAGTAGTTTTGCCATGGTGTAGGTGACCAAGTAGTACAACATTACGTATGAGGTGTGGAGCATCCATCATGTCAGCTAAAAATTCAATACTATATGTTGTTTCTGGCAGTTGTTGCTGTTTTATTTGGAACTTTGGTTTTCTTGTTGGTGCTATCAGTGGTTTATCCAATGGTTGGGCATCTTCTTCTTGTACTAATGTTTCTACCTATAATTTATTGTAATTAGCCAATGTATTAGTGTTGGAATTAACAGAGAAAACAAGTGTAGTTCACCTCTGGTCCATAAACTTCTAAAGCACTGGGATAATATCTTTTATCTTCGTGCAATACAACTGCCATAGAGTTTCCTTGCTCTGACTGATCTCTAGACTCATCTTTGTCTTCTTCCATCTCCTCATCAGACCTTTCTCTGTCTTCTGCATCATCTCCTGCATTTCCATATTCATTTTCATCCTCACTATCAGAGGCCAAATCAGGGCCAATATAATTGCCAAACTCATCATACAGATCAGCATCCATGGTGATTCTTTTTTTTGTTTAAATAGTTACTGCAAACATAATTGTTCCATTTAAGTTGCATAGACTATTTTTATTTTGTACGTGATATATTTCTGGGCACATTTTTTTTATTAAAATGACCTTCAAAGCGATTGTTTACAAATAGTTAAAGTAGACGTACATAACCTCAAAATTACTCAACGACCGTTTTGTATATTTCTTTAAATATGCAACAATCGTAAACCAATTTTATTAGACTTAACATAACGTTTATAAACAACGATCATCAACATTTGTTACTTACCAAAATTAATATTGTTTAAATAAAAGCCCGCAAAAACTTAGCCAACGTTGTGTTTGTAATTGGTTACGATTGTAAAGCAGGCATCGTGGAAACGTTTTGAAATAAAATACGTGTGTGTTTTTAAACAATCTTTAATTAATACATTTAAAAATACAAATATGAAGATTTACTATTACGACATGTATAAATTACATGTGTGTTATTCCCTTCTTATATGTACACATAACCTTACTAGATTTGTATAGAATGAAGTAGAATGCAAGATAGTAAAGCGACTTGCCAATATAATGAAATTATTTTTTCAAAGTTTATTTAACATATAGCTAGAAATTACAAAGATAGTATCAAGTATGCCGATGGTATTCGTAAAATTGTTACCTTTACAAATAAATGCAGTTTCTAATTTAAAGCTACATTTCCATTAATATATCACGACGGATGAAAGATTGTTGGCATCACTGCGGTACATGTGGCGACTGCAAAATAAGCCGCTAGAGTAGTTATGTTTGCGCGCATGTTCATAAAAGTATACAAGACCTATTGTATACGACACTATGTTGGAAGCTTACACAAACATACTTTCTACATAGATATGAATGTTGCGCAGAGTGGCTCAGACTTGACAGCTGGAAGAACGCGAAACAGGAGTGGCAGATCATGTAAGGTGAGTGTTTTTTTTTATTACATTCAAGAATAGATCGCCCCGAGGCAATTTAACTATCGTAGCGTAGTCTGCCAACCCCTAGCCGAACGATGGGAACTTCTCTTCTAATTTCGTCCTATTAAGTGTATTTGACACACCCGTTACATCGCGATGCTGTGTGATCATTTATCGTTCTCGTGTTCATGTAAACAAAACTATTACGTTAAAAACTATGGAACATCCAGGAGGAAAAGCACTGTCAATTTCATCACTGTAATCGAGTTAACCCTTTCAGGGCACTTTGGCTAGAGAGTGAAACTTGACAATTGACGAGCAGACGCGCTGCTAAGAATACATTAGAAGAGTTGACAGGATAGGCAGACGAAGGCAGAGCAGTTGGGGAGGGGGTGGGAGAACCAGAGGCGGCATGACACGACCTCCTAATAATGACAACCTTATGACCTTCAAATTGGTCGTGGTTGGTGATGGAGGTGTTGGAAAGAGCGCACTCACCATACAGTTCTTTCAAAAATTATTTGTCACCGACTATGATCCTACCATTGAGGATAGTTACATTCAGCATACAGAGGTAGACAAACTATGGTGTATCCTAGATGGTAAGTGGAGTCACAATAGTAAAGTTCTTCATCTTATTTTCATGCCTTTGATTTTGCTATCTGCTACTTTTCAATTATGCTTGGCACGTTGTATTAGCTACAAGATGCATTCATATATATGTACAAGGGTTTATTTGTGCCTGACAGTGTTAGATACAGCTGGTCAAGAAGAGTTCAGTGCCATGCGTGAACAATACATGCGCAAGGGTGATGGGTTTCTGTTAGTATATTCTGTGACTGATAAACAATCTTACGAGAATATCATGAATTTTTATACCCAAATACTTAGGGTAAAGGATAGAGATGTATACCCTATGCTCTTGGTGGCCAACAAAGTTGATTTGATACATTTGAGAAAGGTTACAGAGGATCAGGGAAGGGATTTGGCTCAACACTTGGGTATACCTTACATTGAAACTTCTGCCAAAGATCCACCGTTAAATGTGGATGCAGCATTCCACGAGGTAGGGGATTAATAGAAAAAGAATAAAAGAGAGAGAGAGAGAGAGAGAGAGAGAGAGAGAGAGATTGTTGTACAAATGCATGTGGGTTAGTGCAGCTAAGAGGGTTGAATAATTTTGCTTTAGGTCGTTCGTATTATCAGAAATCAACCTCCAGCCGAGTTGGAAAAAAATCGGAGGAAACGTAGACGTTCGGGGAAATGTAATCTTTTATAAAGCTCGATGGTATCGAGCAAGTATTTTCAAAGGGTCACTTTTCTCCCATGAACAGTGAAACGCACCTGCCAAAAAACAAAAAAAAAAAAAAGAAAACAAATGAAAAAAGTGGGTCTTCTGTCCTCCATCATATACATATAATAGGTACATATGACTCGTAACAAATTTCTTCTTTTTTTTCGATTCATTTATGAGTTCGTAGTTTTAATGAGCATCGAGCGATTGATATCCCACCCAACCCCCCTGTAAAATAAGTGTACAAAATAGTAACGATAAGAGATGCATCGATTGAAAGAGGAAAAAAAAAACAACGTTATGTATATCCGAGACGCAACTAGATTTTTTTAACAAAAAAAAAAAAGAAAAAAAAAAATTCAAGCATCAGTTTATCGACTGTTCATCATCACCGAAATAATATGAGATCACGTCTCAGTACGCGTGTACACATCAATTTTTTACCATCGACAAAACACTATGGAATTGAGCGTTTTTTATTGCACAATGCATAATTCTATAGAAATCTTTTTACTTCTTCATGTAAGATCTTGTCATGAAATGACTATAATGGTTTCGTACATATTGACTCAGCTCCTTTTTTAAAACAGCGGTAAAGAATTATAGCTTCAAGCGTTATTATTTATTTTATCTTACTTAGTTGAATAATTTCTCCTATCATTTGTTCCGTACATATGTATGTACATATGTACGAATTTGTCGTTTCTTCGAAGAAAAAAAGAAAAGAAGAAGGATTCGAGATATTAAAGGCTTCCGTTTAGTCGTTATTTCCTATTACACTTTTGTTTCTTTCTTAATCGAGTTCACGTAAAGAAGTTTTATTGAACTTTTGCAGTCATCGTCTCTTTGCAGCGATGTAAATAACACTCGAAAGGTTAACTATTTCATTTTACAACGAGTTTCTCTTTTGTCGGTAAATATGCATTAGGCATTTCGAGCCAAACGAGTAATTAATATTCTGAATCAGGAATGAGGTATTCAAATGTAAGGCAGTACTGCCTTTGCTATTAGATTATTGGCTTTCGTATATACAGAGGTCTGATGTAAAACATCTGTCGTGTTCGAATTTTCAATGAAATACTTACTACATACTCCAAGTATTCAGTTCAGCCAGTGAAAGTCGAATGATTAGTGCGTTACTGGATTATGTCGTTCGAACATTGTGCAATGTGTAGTGTATTGCGTTTCGAATGCAGCTAAGAAAAATTCTCTCTTCTTTTTTTTTTTCTTTCCATCGATTATTTTACATTCGAAATATTTGGTACTCTGCGGAAGTATCGATGCGAGAGCTTTGATTACGTCAGACCTTTTTACATATATTAAGGATATAAAATGCCATGGCCTATCTTAGTATTTAAACGTGAGAAAAAAAGAGGGAAAAAAAAAATGAAAGAAAAAGGGGTGTACGTAATATTTAAGGGGCGCTCTAAATGCGAAAAATACCAAAACAGTGGATTATTTTTCGTGCTTATACAGATTTGAACTATCGCACATAATATTTGTCTTCTAAACCTTCTACGTACTCGAAAATACGTACGGAATACGTAAATTGTAAGATTGGCAACGAGGTGATTACGAAGCGAAACGAAAACGTTCTCGTTTTCTCCCGTTCTGTCGTCGATGTACGGATTGAAAGGTTGTTCTTACGCTTGTTAACTTTCCTTTTTTATCCGCAAAGGACGAAACCGCGGGAGACTTTACTTGTAAACTGTATCCGCGTGGGTAGCACAATGATATATTTAATTCCTCACTGTATATGTTAACGATAAGTACGCGTTATTTGTAGTGCACACGAAATTGCGGAAATACGAGAGAGATGCAAGGCGATTTATCCAATCGGTTCATTAATTTTCTCACGGTCAAGGTAGGGAGAGAAAGAAGTTCGAAGAGTTGAATCTTTGCTTTACCTATCCCGAGATTCGATTGTACGGTATCGCGTTTTAGTGTAGACACAAAGTGCTTCTCTTATACGTAGGAACGGTGTGAAACAGAGAGAACAGCGAATTTTCCGATACGTACGCACAAGAGTATGTGCAGAAAATAATGTGTTGGCGCCACCGATTCATTCTACAGTGAAACATATTTGCCTTGAGATAAAAATAATTTGTATTATAAAAAACGGTGAAGGCTGAACGAAAAGGAATCCGGCTAGTTGCCATACATAGAAAATTCTTTAACAATGCGAAAAAGAAAAGAAAAGAAGGTAGTTTACGACCGGTCGAGTATATCATAGCGCTCGTCCGATTATTGAAATTACGTAGGCACGTTTGTTCGAATCGCAACGAAGTACATATTGTAACGGAAGAATTAAGGAGAGCTGAGAATCGATGACACTTTCATTTTCAACTCGTCAAATGAGAGATTTGTAAATTCAGAGCGTGATTATTTTAGCTAATGTTATTCGCTGTGGAATTCGAGGAGATAAAGCTCAACGCTTAGTTTAAAATTGCACCGCACTTTCGTAAACGATTGTACAAATTTTACACCGACGGCTGCAGCGGCAGAGTTATGATTCCGTTATGTAGTTTGGGTAATTCGTGAATCGTATATCGTTCCGTATAAAATTTGCAAGCACATTAACTATCACGTTGTTCACATGCGAAATCTGCATCGAACCGTGTGTGCCTGCGGACAATGTGTCGATTTGATTTCTATACGCGCGCGCTACGCGATATAACACGTGTCACGCGTATTATACTCCACACACATCCCTCGCCAAGATGAAACGAATCGCCGCTTCGTTTAAAGCCGCTCGGTTCATTCGATAGTTACACTCGCGAATAAACGTGGACCAATTTCCAATCGGCTCGGTCGATTGAAAATTTCTACGTTCACGATAATGGTATTACGAGGCAGGCAGAGAGGAACGTTGCGTAGATCCAATTAAAATTAAAAAAGAAAAAAAGGAACACCGAGCGATGCCCCGGTATTTCCATCGAACTGCTGCGAACTATCTCGAATAATAATAAAAGTGATCGTTTGATTTTTTATACCGAAAAGTTTCCGTCTTCGACGGATACGAATTAAAATGTTACTCTCTCGTCAAGGGTCGTCGCGTAATTTCGATTGTGAAAAGGTTCAAGCGGCGATTATCGGAACAAAAATAGAACGAGAAGAACACGAGAGAAGAGAGAACTTGTATAACGCGTGCACACATTGTGAGAAGTTTTTTAGACACTCAGGATTTAGCGTTCCTCGCATGTTGTAATAATCTGTAACAAAAGCGCTACGTTTTTTACCGCCGTCCATGAGAGAGAATTGTGAAGAGACAAAGGAGCACAGGAGCTCACCTGTGGTTACATATGCAACGCACGACAATTAGAAACGACCACGATACCGCATATTAAACCGGAACTTCAACGTGGAGCATAGAACGAGACCGAGAATGCATATCGTTTTGTCGACGTTGAAGCGCGTATAGGGTAGAATCGGGTAAACGCGAAAACTCGCGACGTTTTGCGCGCCGCCAACACCTTTACGGAAAATCTCGAGGGAAAAGTGAAACGGGAAGACAAGAGGTTAATCTGTAAAAAAAAGGACAAATAGTCAATACGTTGAATCATTGTGATACTGAATACGAGAAGATGCAATGTTTAGCGAATGCTGCGGTCGCGCGAGTCATCGAAGTCAGTTGCAATTATAACGACTAGTCTCATCTTTTCATTGTGAACGACAAAAAAAGAAAAGAAGAAACGATCGAACGAGGACTTTCAATTTACGTTCCCGCGATCGATTTAACGATAATACAGCGCGGGTCACGCACGAGAAAGTTCATTATACCGATAAATGAGCAACGGTATCGTTAATTGAATTATCGTTATCCAGCGAAATGAAACGAAATGGAAAATTCGGAACTTCCTGACTTCGCTCCTCGTTTCCTCCCAGTGTTTGCTAGTTTACTACACTCGATAAAAATACCGCACCTGAGTCTAGCTGTTATATATTATTCGTATTATAATTCTTTAATGGAAAGAACAAACGAAGAAAATAAATTAATTAAATCATATAATGACGCACAGGAAACAATGAATTACGCATAATAAGAGAGTAAATACGTTTTAAGACGGATTAACGATCGTTTCCACCGTTCTTGTCCTATAGATAGCGACGAAAAGAAAAAAGAAAAGAAGTATATATATACATATATATATATATATTTTGAAGAAAAAAAGAAAGAAGCGAAGGAAGAAGTTGAAGAACGAAAAATTCCTCCCCAATGATAGTTATATACGAGAGATAACCGACGTAAATACGTTATATAAATGTATAAAAGAAAATACACAAATATGAATGTATGCTGCATACGTGTGCGTGTGATATATACGCGACAATGGCAAAATGCGTTTTCTCTCTCTGTATACGTATACACGATGTGAGCGTATGTAAGTATATTTTTTTCGTTGGACGTTTGCGTTTTCGAGTGCGTGTGTGCAAACGCGAGCGTGTCAACTACTTGTGCAGGTCACTGTATGGAGTACACAATTGATAATAAATTATGGACACGTGTTTACAAAAAAAAAAAGAAAGAAAAAAAAATGAAGAAAGAACAAAATGACCCAATTTTTCCGTTCCGTCAACTTTATCTACCGGAATTACACGGGATTGAGAAGCAATTCACCTTGGAATTATTGACCGCGAATTTGAACACGATCCGAAAGAGACGACGGCGTAGTTTAATTGCTCGGACAGACGGCGAACGATTGCTGAAACAGCAATTGGCCCGAAAACTAGCGCCGTTTTATACGGTTTTAAGAGGAGTTAAAGCCACGAATTGTCCCCGGCTCGTGTATATACCAGAGATTCCAAGCTTTTGCTTCCTAAACGACGTCGTCTTCTCCTATTAAACGCTTTCAAAAACACTCGCCGCCGGTTGGATTGCTTTAATTATCGCTGATTACGCCGTTTCAATACGCACCCCTCCTCTTTCTCTCTCTCTCTCTCTCTCTCTGTCGACGTCATTAACTTTTATGTTTTAACGATAATAATATTCCGCGCTACCGTATACCTATACGGCTGTTTATTTCGACATAACGTGCGTGCATTCGCTATTACGCGAACCACGAGATCACAGAGAGCAAGAGAGTAAATTCACTTTCATGCTTTCCTTTGATATCGCCAGCGCACCGCTCGTAATTGACACGTTATTTTCGTTTACGCGGTTCCTGCGTACGCTCGAACGTTTATGAAGATTTGTGCATCGACACGTACGCTACATGTATAGAGGAGAGACGCGCGAATCGATCGACTCCGGAGAGGATATCGTGAAACGAAATTGACAACGGTAGGCCCATTAATGTAAATCGAACCATTAGAGCATTCAGAAGCAGCCGAATCGTTGCAGCTGCGTTATATAGCCCGGGCTTCTCTATTGTTCGTCGACTCTATTGTGTCTCGTGTGATGTATTCTTGAAAAAGTGTTTTTCACCGAAACCACATGTTGTACCGTTCCTCTTTATAGAGAAACACCTGTGACGGGATTACCAAAGTGTTTAATAGCAGACAGGTAACCGAGAAGGGAGAACATCCACGAAGATGTAACGCTCTCCTCGAAGAAATTTCGTTCGACTCGTCCAAGTACGTATGTA